CCTCTCCTCTTCTCTCTTTTGGTGCCGTTTCGACCTCCTAATTCCCACCAGCGAACGCCATTGAGGTCCGAAGAGAAGGTATGTGTTCTTCCTCTTCCCAATTCCTACTTGCGCGCAAACTCTGCCCACCTCCCACCTCCACTTTCTTCCTGCCCTGCATTTCACCCTGCGCATCTGGGCCCTGATGTTCCTGCATTAGAGTTGAGAGACAGCCTCGCTTAGAGGAAAAAAGAGGAAGAGAAACAGAAAAAAACGGAATCGGGAGGAGATACATCGATGTGTTCGTGCGAGTGTTCGTGTGTACGTGTATACGTTCGTGCGAGAGACTTCACTCATTCTGTCCAAACGACCAACGACGACGACATCTTATCGCCGCTTTCCTGTCCCTCCCCCTCTCTACGCCCCCCTTCTTGCAAACTACTACGTCGAACATAGCTCTTATCCTTCAGCTACCACGATTGTAGTGCATAATTCTAGCATACACGTTCTCTCAAAATTTTACTCTCGAACTTGATTTACTCCTTTAGACCGCACTGGTTCATCATAATTGACGATTTCTTTAGAGCTTCACGATCTGTAACGACCACGCCGTACGGGAAGTCCACTATTGCCGAGGAAGCACATTCGCCGTGTCTATTTCCCCGCAAGTGCTGAATCACAGCCCGTCGAATAAGTTCGTACGCGTCCAGCAACCGTAACACCGTCCCAGATTTACTTCCTAATCCCATCGGTTGAACCGTCGATAAGCCAATTGGCCCGCTTGTTTCGTTTTGCCTCGAGCTCGTTGTTCCTTTGACGAAATTGAAGCCCAATTGTGGTGTTGGTCTGTACTCAAACACAGGTCGTGCTTATTCGACTTGTATTTGAGCTTCTTTGCAGCCCATCGTGGCATTATTGTCGAGCGCCGTGAAACTGGATCTCCCGCCGATTTCCCAGCCGCAAACCCGGGGACCGTCTGACGTACCACCATACTACGGTTCCTTTCCCCAGCGCCCGCCGTATGTGAGTGAGAGGTTGCCTTCGCTCCCCTTACCGCAGGCGCCATTGGCCTACTCTTCGAGTACATCGTCTCCCCGGGTTAGCTCTATTGCGTCTTCCGCGAGTTCCAACGGAGACTCGCAATCGTCGTTCACTTCAGCACCGTCTTCACACGGCCCTAAGACGCCGTCTCCTAGTCTCCCCGTCACAACGGCGATATCTGGCCCCCCTTCCCAGGCCATTGGTGGGTACGAACAATATTCCGCGATGAATACCGCGCCTCCAGATATGTACTACCAAGCTACGCACATGTCTGCAGGCCCTGCACCGCAACCACAAACCGTGACATCAAACGCGTTACCCCAATATGGCCACCAGCAACCGACATTATTACAACCAGGCCCAGCACAGTACTCTGCCCCTCCGTATCAATACGGCTACGCGAATGGGTTGACGTCTCCTCAGTCTGCTCCGCCGGCCGTCTCGGGTTCCATGGGCGCCCAAAATGTCCTACCTCTTCCCGGAGTTCCCAACCAGGGAGGTATGCAGAATCAGTACCAAGGATTTGACACGACAGGTCAAATTGCGCCGCCGGGGATGAAACCTCGCGTTACGGCCACGCTTTGGGAAGATGAGGGCAGCTTATGCTTTCAGGTTGAAGCTAAGGGTATCTGCGTTGCGCGTCGTGAAGGTAGGAATTTAGCAGTCCAAAACTTGTTAGAAACTAAGGAATGTGCTCACAAAATTTTGGCAGATAATCACATGATAAATGGCACGAAGTTGCTCAACGTCGCTGGAATGACCCGTGGCAGGAGAGACGGGATTCTGAAAAGCGAAAAGGTACGGCATGTTGTCAAGATTGGGCCCATGCACCTTAAGGGAGTTTGGTAAGCTTAAAACCCCCTTTTACGGCTGAAGACAAGTACCAATAACGGCCCCCTCTAGGATTCCCTTCGAGAGAGCTCTTGACTTCGCCAATAAAGAGAAGATTACGGAGCTGCTGTACCCACTGTTCGTTCACAACATTGGAGCTTTATTATACCACCCTACAAACCAGAACCGCACAAATCAGGTCATGGCAGCAGCCGAACGCCGAAAACAAGAGCAAAGCCAAATGCGGAACGGCCCGGGTCCGACACCTCCTGGTGGCGTCTTGCCCTCAATACAGCAGCATCACCACCACATGGGATTACCAGGACCCCAACCTCCACTTCCGTCTCATAACCCAGGACGGCCGTCCCTTGACCGGGCACACACATTCCCGACGCCGCCGACAAGCGCATCAAGCGTGATGGGAAGCATGGGTGCATCTGAGAATTTCCAATGGGGTCAGCAAGGGATGAATGGCGGCCAAGGTCCCAACCCTATGTCCATCGATACGGGTCTAAGCAACGCTGCACGATCCATGCCAGCTACTCCTGCAACTACACCTCCAGGAAACACACTGCAGAGTATGCAGCCTTACTCGCAGAGTAGTCAACCTTACGACAATTCCCGTGCGGTATACAATGGCCAAACTACTCAACATTCACCCTATCCTCCGTCAAATAGCAGCCCGCAGGAGAGGAACATATATGGCCAACCGAGTTCCTACATGAAGAGTGAGATGGGCCCTCCAGCTGGACGTCCGGCTGGTCCTAATGAGCAGGCTGATGTTAAACCGTCAAATGGATTACTGCAACATAATGACGGTGTTCCTCACCCGTCCGGCGAAGATGAAGCTGAGCATGAGGCCGAATATACTCATGACAGCGGTGCTTATGACACCAATAGAACATCGTATAATTATAACGCCCCACCTGTTACGGCGTTACAAGGCGATCACCAGCATATTCCTGAGATAAACGGGTCGCCTAATCATCATCAAGCCGGATCTGGACGAGCCACACCCAGAACCGCCGCACCGCCGCAACCGTATTACGCTCAGCAGACAGGATACAGTACGCCGCCGCGTGTGCCATCCTCCAGCAACCTTTATAATGTAATGAGTGGCGACCGAGCGCCCACTAATGGCGCGCCACCGCCGGATGTTTATAGCTCACAAAACGATATGGGCGCTCCAATGCAAAATGGTTATGCTACTCAGCCAGTTATGAATGGCGCATCAGGCGCCTTGAAAAGAGGTCGCGATGATGAAGACGACCTACCTCGTCCCTCGAGCGGTGGGCTAGACTTGAAGCGTCGGAAAACGGTGATGGATGGGCCCATTGCTCCCGGATACGACACAATGAGCCGCCCTACTTCAGCGGTGGCCCGTCGGCGATAGCCTCGACCTGGAGTTTATTCAATGTGTCATGTTGATGTTTTCTTTTCTGTGCGCATTAATCCAGGTGTTGGGGCACTTGTGCGAAAATCGATTCTTTTGAGACGAATCACTTCCGCGCCATAGAGTGCAATGCCGACTACGAGACACTCCTTTATTTGTTCTTTTCCGCGTCTTTTGTGTTAGCCGCGACAACTCATCATCATCATGTTTAGGCCCATCCATCAGAAGACACGATGACGAAAATTACGACTTCTTGATTGTTATTAACAGCCGTTTAAAGGCCGTGTAAATGCTTCACGATTTAACGCGTCGCATGGTGGACCTTAATTTTTTTTTGAGATGATCATCGATTACTTCTCTTTTTTTATGCTGAGGACAACGAGACACTCGAGCAACGCAAAAGTCCCGCCTATTACGATTTCTAGGCGAGTAATGTTCATGACCGAGGCTGAATTTGTTTTACTTTGTTCATCACATCCATCAGCCTCGTAGAGCACGTGAGGCTGCTGGTACAATTATTTTCCTAGTGACGACATGATGACGACCTGATTTTCTTCTATTCACCAAAAGGATGTGGTGTCACTGTGGGCGTGTGTTGGAAATGTCTCTTTCTGGTATCAATGGTCATGAACTCGATGATGGAATTAAAAAAGCTATTGCTTGATACACAGCGAACTTAGATTCTAAGCTACATACAACTGTCCCAGCCAATCGTATCACATATTGGGCTGTAAGGAAATTAAGTGGAAATTTGTAACCAGCTTTCCTGGCTTTATATTACAGTAATGGGATTCTCTATTAAACATACTCCTCTCGCCCTTCCAGTAGCAATTGTTCAGCCCATCCCCTACGTAGCTATCCTATTTACATTGTGATTAGTTGGAGTCCATTTTAATCTTCCGCGTACGATACGCAGGTAAAAATGCTGATACCATTCATCTAGCCTATACTCGTACCAAGCCTTGTGCGAGGTGACATTTCCTCAACAATCACACTTTTCATTACACCTTGTACCCTTCTCCCGTCGTACGGGGGTGGGAAAACCCTAGCTTCGTGGAACTACTCACTATCAACTTCTCTCGCCAAGACGATGCTGTGATGGCTCAAAAATAGTCCATTTCACTGCTTGCGCCTGCGGTGGCAGAGATCATTCACTATAGCAGGAAAAGATATAGGACAGTGAGACCTTTTTTGTTGTTAATACGGGCGGTCGGTCGTACGGCGATGTGGTAGCCCGAATTATGTAAAACCCTCATAGCTAGTGTTTAGAGGATGATAATGATAACAAGGGAGGGGGGTATCAAGCTCCCCCTTTCCCCTTCAGTATGCTGTTGCTATTCTTTATAAGAATAAGTAGACCTTAACTACTTCCATGGTACATCTAAGGTACCTACCTAGATGTATAATCTAGAATGACTAACTCAGTATATTTGTTGAGCCCATCTTCAATAAGAGGTAAGTATGAGTTTAGATAAGGATACTGTTATCCACGTACTACGTCGAATATAATTTGTGATACAAGATGTATAGTGCTCTTTTGACTTCGCCCGATCGCCCTACTTCTTAGCTGCCTATCCGACAATACACGATTTTAATGATGACTTTATTCCGCTGTGACACTTGGCTAACATGAGCTTATATACCTAACACTATAGATATATCGACGGAACGGATTATGAGTAGGAAATGTAATGTAACGGTATGCCATCGTAACGTGGGGGGAAAAGGGGGTTTGTTGCTTCTAATACTCCTAATTTCAAGAACTATACTCAATGACTATCAACATAACCCCGTTGATAATACCCTGGAACGTCTGAATTTTGTCTCCTGCCATGTCCATCACAAGCAATGCATTGTGCCGACGCACACAGCTTCAAGAATGATGTTAGCTTGGAACTAAGGGAGCAACTGGATAGACAGCTATGGTTAGGATATTATAGTAAGGAGGGAAATCCGTACCGCAACTACATATATATAAATATTAGCATAAACGACACGTAAGTATTATCGAAGGCACGTCGCAGATCCGGTATATATACGTACATGATAAATCCGAAAGGGACTGCAGCCAAGCCTCCGCAGATCGCGGCGCAGTCGTCACACGTTAGTCGTTCGTAGGCGCCGAGCGAAGCGGGATCTCGTCCTGTTAGGTTCCAGGACAGCGTGCCCTCCACGCCGCTCAGGGGAGGGAAGGTATAGTGTCCGCTGGGACTATTGCCGAAGAGCTCCGGGTGGTTCCGTAGTTTCGTCACGTCGATCCCGAGCTCGTTTTTGAAGTACTCGAGCGTCTGCTCCGAGTGCATGGTTAGGGCGCCGCTGATGCTGTCGTCGGGCTGGAATGTGAATGAGATGGCATCTGCGCCTTTGCTCCGCGGAGTTAGGGCTTCGTTGTGCGCGGCGGTGGGGTTGAGTAGCGCGAGGCTGCTGGTGTAGAAGAGGAGGGACTGGAGGAGACGCATCGTGTAGAGTACCTAAGCTTTGGCTATTGGTGGAAGTGAGGATAGTTAAGAGGAGAGATTGTATGATACTGATTACAGCTAACGCGTAAGCGATTGCTGGCTATGGCAGTATCTAAGAATGATGATTCAATTATGTGATATTTTATAGTTCAACAATATCAAAAGCCCATTTTCACACCGTCATAGTCATAACGAGCAAGTCACCAGCAGAGCGGTATGCTTGCCAAGCTAGTAGCACTTGGTAAATTGGCTATGCTCTGCACGCTTCTTCTCACCAATGACTTCAAAAGATATGGCGTGGATACATCTAATCAGATCAAAGATTATCTGATCTAGGAGTTGACCCGCCTTGTATTCAGTCGGTACGGGGAAAGTCGAGCAAACATGGGATTGGGACAAACCACACCCGTATTTAGAACACGGCTAGTAAAATGACTCTCCCATGTTCGGTCACAATAGAACGTTTTCCTCAAGCTGCTTCTCGGGGATAACTTTTCTGGAGAGCTAAGACGTGGGCCGAGTCGGAATTCCGAGGAGAGCATATGTTGTTGCTTGTTTGTTGGGTAGAATATTGATGTTTGTGGTAGCAACCCAAGGCCCCATAGCCGCCCAATCCCGTATTGGAGGGCACTTACACCGAAGCTAGAATAGGTTGCGAGTTCGGCTCTACCTGCTTGCAACGTTAGGAAGTGTTAATATATAAGCCATGAATTAAGATGATCTGTAGGCGTGTATCATAAGTGTTATGAATAACACAAGGTTGGGGTTACATACGAGTTAGTTTTGGGACAGTAATTTTGGAAAGCTCAAGAGAGCGTGGGTATCAATTAGAAATGACCGACAATCCTACAATGGATCACGCCAATACAAATGCAAAGACTACCTAATAGAAACCGCCTAACTCTCATATCGTGGTAGGGAGTCCTTCGCTAGGCTTCAACCTACGTACAGGCTAGTACCAGGAATGATGGGGATATTGGATGACATTGCATACAAATCCACTAGGTTTAGTCCTCATCTTCTTCCTCTTCTTCCTCGTCTTCGTCCTCGTCGCTAGTAGCCTCAATATTCGCCTTGGTCTTCTTACTCTGGGGCTTGGCCTTCTTCTCGTTCTTGGCCTTCGCTGGTGAATCAGGGGCGTCTGCGGGCGCTCCTGAGAGGTCAGGCGTGGCGTGTCCCTTGTCCCGTAGCTCGGCGTTGATAGAAGGAATAGCCTCGAGTAGTTTGTTGTATTGCTCAGGACTCAACGTGATACCCTGTAAGGTGGTAAGCGATTGGATGGCTAAAACATCTTTCTCTCTCCTTTCCTAATCTACAATGGCTTACCTTCTTTCCTGGCTTGAGATCACCAGAGGCATCTGTGTAGTACTCGCGAATGTTGACAAATGTCTTGCCCTTGAAACTGCTGATAGTGGCTCTGCGGGTGCCGCCTAGCTTTGGAATAAGTTAGTGACGAATTTCGAATTTCGAGTCAAGGAGACAAGAGTGATAGGATAATAGAATATCATACACTCCAGAAAGGGTTGCCCTCATCGTCTTTGCCGGAATCGGAGGTCTTGGCCTTCTTGGTGGACTTAGACTTGGACTTGGACTTGCTGCTTGACTTGACTTCCTGATCGCTTGATACATCCTCGTCTTCGTCCTCATCGCGACGCGATCGCTTAAGGTTCTTGGTGCGACCCATGTTGACGGCTACAATTGGTTCTTGATTTGATGGTGAGATGATAAGAGAAACTCAATTGAGGAAGATGCAAGGGTTAATTTAAGGAGAGGAAGGTAAGGAATATAATACTGTAATTGATGCGGAATGTGGGGTTGCTGTTGGGTTGCGCTTTGTCGCGTCAATGAAATGTTAAGTGCTTTGAAGACGCGCCTACCTACATGTATGATGTATGTACGGTTGAGTAGTACTGGGAGTTCAATTGCCACTATACTCGCTACGGTTAGTTGTTGCAAGGTACCTGCATATCAATATCTCTCTTAAAATCTAAGATATGGGAACGTTTATTGTAACTATAGGCCTATGTACCTCTCACTTAAAGAACTATGGAAAGATACATGAAAGGATTCCGCTGGGGTAAAGGTGTAATGTATGTACGAAGTACCTAAGTACTTAATTTTACGAAACATCCCATTATCGCACCTCGAGGCAGAAGGTTGTACACGACAGATGTTACCTAGGGGAAAGTCTACCTAAACCATTGGACCCCTAACTTACAAGAATCCATCTGCCAAATTTATCTTCTACGATTTGCCGAATCTATAATCCAGAACCTTTTCAAACACGCAGTCTATAGAGAACAAAGAACGAACTATTCCGAGTTAACCGCTGTGCCAATACTTATAATATTAATCAACCATCTTCTATTCTAGCCTCTCGTTATAAATGCAATGCGCCCACTATCAACGCCCCTAAACGCCTAGTAACTTTCAATAGTTCCATACACCAACAACTCCCTAATGAATACCGTCGACCATGCGCAACTCGGCGCGACTCCCGCCGTATCGCAAGACGAGACGAAACTAGACTCGAGCGAAATAGTAGATATATCCGACAATAACTCCCAAAACTATCCGATAAGTCCGAAGAAACGAGATATACCTACATCGTCAAGTTCCCAGCAAGATGATATTGTCACCAAGGTGTTGCAATTTCTTTCCACAGCAACGCCCGGGACACTCGCGGCTATCGCGTTTGTACTTGCTGCTGTGACCTACTTCGTCCTCGGTCAGATTGGCCTGGTACTGATCGGAGCTGTCGGCGGTATCACGCTATTCGCGTCGTGGGAGTCCCGGCATCCCGAAGTGTCCCGGGCCGTCCGAGGTGAAAGGGGTTACGAATTCTTAGATCGTATCTTAGGGACGGCACATACTAGAGCAGTCATTCAGGCTGAACAAGACGATGAGAAGAACGCCCAACTTCTAGCTCGAAGTTTCGACGACTTCCAGCCAGAAACGCGACAGGCGCTTACTGGTCTCGTCGACGCCATTGTTCGCGACTATGTGGACTGGTGGTATGGACCTATTGTGCCGTCTGACAAGTCATTTCCTCTCTCCTGCAGAAAGGTGTTGGTTAATTTCTTATTGACTATCTCGAATCAATTGGGCCGCAAGCGACCTGCCGATGCCTTCGTCGACTTCCTTACTCACACGTGCTCTATCATTATTGTCTTCCTATCTGAGATGGCCAATGCTTACTCGGAGCTTCCGTCCGAAGCCAACTTGACTGCGGCAGATGCTATCTATAATTACCTTGCTTCGAATACTGAAGCACCGTTGTCAAATTTGCTTAATCAAAGACAACAGGCAGGGAAGTTTAAAATGGTTGCTGAGGACTTGCTTAGCTTCCTAGATAGATCGGCATATGATTGCGATCCTGCTCGAATCTTTTTGAGGGAGATCCTCTCAACAATCATTCTTGAGGGTACTTTGCAGACATGTTCCAAAGCCGAATGGATTAATGGTTGGATTGTGTATCTCCTTGAGTCTGGAGAGACAGACTTTTCGCAAGCCATCGATGATGCGATACAAGAGCAGAAGGCTTTTGGCGACGTCGACGGCAATGTGGGAAATATCGGTCTTTCTAGGGGTAACCGTAATTCATACGAAATTGATCGCGTGCGCCGTAAAGAGGCGGTGCACAAGAAGAAGCTATCGAAGGCTGACGAAGAAATGGAGAAGGCTATGGAAGAAATGAAGAGACTCAACGAGATGATTGCTGAAGCCGACAAGTCGAAACCGGTATCAACTGAGAACCGCACAGAAGCCTCCGGTCTCCTTAATAATGCCATAGAGAAGAATGCTAAGGAGCTTAACTTGAAGCTTGACGAAAAACCAAACAGGCCTTCTTTAGAGAAACCTAAAGACTATAGTCCAAGTTCTAGAGGTGCATCAATGGATTCAAAACCAGGGAATGCTGAAGATAAGGAGGAATCTCTGAGGTCTCCCATCTCTCTAAGATCGCCTATAGATCTGGCAAGCCACAGCTCGTCTCCGTCTAGTGGACAAGGGGGGCAAAGGGCCCGTAGGTTTACAAGCTTTGATCAAATTGTTCCACCGGCAACAGAAGAGCTAGAAGAAGGCGACCCACGCAACCCTCCTCTCCTTACACTATACAACGCCACTGTTACCATTCATGACGACGCGGCGAATGACAAGGGTCGACTTCGTGGCAAACCTTCCTGGGAGTATCTACTTCAGATTGAACCAGCAACCTCTCATTACCCTGGGTGGATGATAATGAAAACGTACACCCAGTTTGAGGGTCTCCATGAGAGCTTGCGACGCATTGCGACCGTCTCTGGATCGACTGCTTTCCTGGAGGCCTTCGCTACCTTCCCGAGCTGGAAAGTGCATACGAGGACGTCGTTGCGCGGCGAGATTGAGAGATACATGCGAACAGCCTGCGCCGAGAAAGCACTGGCCGAATCGGAAGCCTTTAAGCGGTTCCTAGATAAAGGTCAGGAGACTCGAATGAGCGCCAGCAGGGGGTTCTCATTCGAGTCGGTAGGAAAAGGTGTGCTTGACGTTATCCAGAATGCACCCAAAGGGGCTTTGGATAGCGGAAAGGTAGTGGTCGGCGGAGTTACTGGCGTCTTTGGCAACATCGGGTTGGGGCCAAGGAAATCAACCACTTCTTCCTTAAACGAGCAGCAGACCAAGGAAGTTAGTAACACGAAAAGCCCAACGAGCACGCGGCCATTATCAATGTCAGCTCTCTCAAGGATGGACAGTACCCCATCGGTGAATGGGTCAGGAAAAGCTAGAGATAGTCTGGACAGTCAAAGATCGTCTGTGGTCGCAGTACAGCCAGGTAAAGTAGCGCCTATGGAACGGCGACCCAGCGTCCAAATAGACCCAAATCAAGACAGTCTTCACCCTGCAAGGGCAGATCGCTGGGAGCGGAGTTCAATTAGTGCAACGAGTAGCAGAGGACATAGTCGTGCTTCGAGCGCTGTAGCATTACGCTCACCTCTACGATCTCCATCCGAATTAAGCTT